ATTATAGTCAAACATAAAGCAATCCATATGCCAGTTAAAATTTTTTATTGTTGCAATTAAATATCTTTTTCAAACCAACATGTATCTCCTTCAGTAAAAGAGAATGTGAGGCTTTTACACAAGCAGTTTTTAGTGAGGAAAATCTATCCGTACATTAGTAGAACCAGAAGGAAGTGGAAGTTAAGATGTGATTCCAAATAATTATTTACCTGCTTAAATATGGTACTTGACCCAGATCCGGAAGATCCGACCAAAAGAATCTTCTGTAATGTACGCTGCTCAAGATAGTAAGGAACAGATCTACTATTCATGCTGTTTAGCGACTCTCCACACGGATTTGAAGATTTAGAAGGAACAGGCAGTGATAATACAGCACAGACAAGCTTTGTTCCAGCCTAAGTTAATTTGAACAATAAATGAATGCTTAATACAAGTATTTCATCCAAAAAAATATGGAAAAGAGCACACTGAAACATGCATACATTGCATACCTTTCCCCATATATATCCTTTTGTATTTTTTTGCCCCTCTTCTAGGTATGAACCGTCCTCATTCACCCAAAAGTGTGGGTTGCCCGCAACTTGAACTCCTGCCAACTGCAATGTTCACCAAAACAGTCATTGACAATCTTGCACAATAACGACCATCTTAATAACATTACATGTTTAGAAATTTAAACCTGCAACATCCTAAGTTCAACTTTTGTGATTTCTCGACCATTTATGAAAACTTCAGTGTTTCCGTTGCTAGCATCTGGCCTGATAGGACCACCGACATTTAGATGGGGACTAATTATCTTTGAAGGTTTCTGTCCTTCCTGTCAATTGCAGAAGAACCATCAGTTTCTCTAACAATACAAATGAATTATAGCAAAACATAACAATATCAATCAAAGATTGCATATTCACCTTTCCCCAAAGACCAGATACTTTATCATACCAATAGTTTCCCGGCTTTAGCTTCTTGGGTGGGTTAGGGCAACTCTGCAATATAGCCAGCTCCTCATAACAAAGGGGTTGCCCATTCACACAAATATACTCAGGAGGCAGCTGATTTGCCTCGCACAACTTTTCAGCCTTCAGTATCTGTCTTACCTCCAAATCATTAAGCAGCCGTTTAAGCATTCGAGAACACTTCCCCAAACCCCCACGTTTTGACTCATCAATTGGAAATCCGATACAAGTAACACATTTCCTTCCTTCAGGCATAGACCCCATAGCTCTAAGCACACAATTACTACAATACTTGGCATCACAAACAATACAAACCTCCTTCTCTGTAAACCTATTCCCCTTAAAGCATCGATAACATGACCCTTTCTTCCCTTTTGTTTGAGGCTCTCTTTTAACTCTAACAATCTGAGCTTGCACCTCATCTTGACTAAATTCCTCATCAAGTCCATCATCGGATTCAATATCTCGAAAAGTAACAACCTGAGGTCTCCTAACGTCACCATTGGACTCATTATTACAGTCCCCAGTCTTAAGAGAAGAAACTCGTGAAGACGGGTAATCTAAGCTCAAAACAGACTCGTTAGAACCCCAATCAGGTTTATTCAAATCATCATCATTCGAAATCCTTGCTAGGGACGAGCTTCCCCTAGATTTATCAAAGCTATCACAAGAATCAAGCTTACTAGAATGTTCATTACTAACATAACAAGCCGCTAAACGCCTCGAAGAACTATCGTTATTGTTAATCAATTCAGCTAACTCCCCAGACTCGTAACTACTCAACTCTCCAGATAACAAACAGTTATTAGTATCCGCAGAAACCCTTTCTTGAAAAGCAATAACCGAAGTTGGTGAAACAGTGGGTTGAAGAAGCAATTCCTTAGAGAACCTGTTACGATCTGGTGCTAAAATAGGGGGTACAACCGGTATATGAAGTTCAGTATTGAAAAGTGGTACCTTTGAAACGACGGCAGCAACAGGGATTTTCTCGACGTTGATTGGAACAGCTCGTGGAAGATCGTAGGTTACCGGAGGGCCGGTGTATTCCACCGCGAAAGAGTATGGTTGGTCTTCATCATTTTCTACGCTTGGCAAAACTACAGCTTCCTTGGGTGGCATTTTTGGGGTTTTCCGAGATTAGACAAACGGGAGAAGAATAATGGTTCAAACTCGTGGAAGGAGAAGGTAAAGGGTAAAGGAAATGTAAGGTAAGGGAGGGTGTGGGAAAATGACAGCAAAACAAGAAAAGAAATTGGGGCTTTTACTGGGATTGGCTTAGAATTGGAATCTAAATTTTTTTTTATTTAAATAGTTTCAAAGTTTTGTAAAAGGACAACATGTGGGGTATGAGCTGGGGAAGAACTTTTGTCTTTTTAGGTAAGAGGGGACCAACTTGCGTGCTGCTGTATTGGAATTGGAGCTATCAGTGGAGGGAAAACAGCCATGGCGGAACTTGGATTTCACTGTGGATTTTTCCTTTTCCTTTTTCTTTTTCGATGGATACCTTTCTTTTCCAATTTATTTATTTGGTTTAAATGATTGAACTCATGGAAGTTTCACTCTCTGAATTTCTGAAGTTCAAATGAAAAAGGCAGTGTTCATTTAAATTCAATAATATTATATAAAATCAGATATACACAAATATATCAACCAACTCAAGAAAACAGAAAAAAAATGAGTTGCTGTAGAATGTTCATGTGGCTTAGACAAAGGATTTAATTTTTTTTTATAAAAAAAAAAACCATTTTCTTTCACAAATTGATTAAAGTTTCTTTTACCAAACTTTCATGCTTTGATTCCAAGAGCTGCAGGTCGGTTGTGCTAAAGATGGTCTTTTTGAACTAGAGTTTGGGTTCTTTGGTATGAAAAGATCATCCATCACATTTCTCCGATCATTGAATCCGGCATGAGAATTCAAGTGCCTATGTATCCAGTTGAAGTTAACAATCCTAATCTAAGTAGATTAGGCCATAATTTGAGATCGAGTTGAGCCCCGAGGACTGGTGCTCTTCACCATCGCTTACTAAAGGCTATTCTGATGAATCGGTCTCGATGGGGCTTTGTGTCGGCGGTGTTTGGTCCGATATCCGCCAAATCTTCACAGACTTATCTAGGCTACCACTGTAAAGAATTCACTGGTTTTCACCGGATGTTGATTCATGATCTTTTTCGATTGCCAATCACTTAACAGGACCATTATGGCCTGTTAATCTTGTCCACAAGAAACGCTCGTTCCCACATCTTTTCCATACCAAAATCGTCCTATCAGCCGATCCAGTGATGAGAAGATTCTCGGCTGTTACCAAACAAAGAATAGCTAATTTATGGCCTCTAAAAGCACCGCCATGGGAGAAGTTATTTTCACAGTCCCAAAAGTTAACCACCCCATCCGACGACCCACAGTAAATAAATTTACCATCAGGGCTCAACGCTAATGATGTAATAGCAAATTCTTGTTTGAACAATAACCGGGACAGTAAATGGCTTGTCCCTTTCCCTTCTAACTCTCGTCTCCATACCTTCACCGATCCATCAGCTGAACCTGTAAACACAAAGCCATCACACCCTGCAACAATGGAGTTAACCGCATCATCGTGAGCTCGAATCGATTCCAAGCATTTCCAATCCGAAATTCTCCAAACTTTGAATGTTTTATCCCAAGAACCCGAGTAAAGCAACGTCTTGTCTTCGTTGAAACAGAAGCAAGATATAGCATCCGAATGTTTCTGCCGAAGACCGCTACGACAGCCCTTTGCTTCAGAAAAGCCTGTAGGTACAAAGGAGCTTTTAAAATAGTCTTTCAAAGTCGGCAATGTCCCAACTCGTTTATGAATTCTTGTGTTTTTGCTCGAGACCCTCCAAACTCGGATCTTTCCATCTCGATGACCCGTAAAGACCTTCTCTCGGGCAACGACGATAGCTTTCACCAATCCACCATATGATGTAAACCCACCATGAGCCTTTTGTTTCATCCAGACCCTAATGTTTTTGCTATCGGAGCCTGTATACAACAAATCCCCAGAGACCGCCAACGAATATGCATGCCCTTCTTCACGTACCAATGAACCTATCAACTCTTTAGCCGGAGTTGCATTGGCTTCATCAACAGAAGGAGAACACAGAGCATTATTGGCCGCGAAAGATGTCTATGGTGATTTTTTGAAAGATGGTGATGAATCACTAGAGAAGCTTGCCAATGAAGAAAAATCTTGGTTGCTTAAAGAAGAGTTAATCGACGTCGGGAAACTATCTTTGGAATCTTCTTCACCGGTGATCGAATTCTTTAGCCTGGCAACCTTTTGGCCGACGACGGAGCCTGTTTCTTTAAACAATATGTTGAAACCACCCCGTTTCTTAAACCTAATGGTTTCCATCCTAAATAAGCACGCAAAAATGAAAAGATAAACAACCCAATGAAAGGGTAAACCGTATAACAAAGAAATTTCAAGATGAAGAAAAAGAAACGAGGGAAGGCAAGAAAAATTCAGCATTTGCCTTCCCTCCAAAAAGAAAGGACGAAGTGAAACTAGGACGCCTCCCAAGTATGAAGCAATAAAGAATGTCATTTTTCTTCCTTTTTGCATGGAAGAATTGATGTCCGTTGGGACTTGGGATTGTTTCTATTTTTGGACATTAAATTCAACGGCTTGTCCAAAAGTTAATATAGTTTCATTTTTCAAAAACAAATTATTGGAGAACAGCTTATGTAATTTTTTCTTTGTTAAGGTTTGAGATTGTGGTTACGAAAGTTTGTAGAGAATAAGTTTCATCATTTGGAGTTGGACATTATCAGTATTTTTCAAGTAAAAAAAAACCCAAAATTGGGGGACTGTTTATTTTACTAAATAAGTCTACACTTTGATATCTAACATTTTAAAACTCAGACTTCAAATTTCAATATGATACGTAAGCTATTTTTTTTTATCTATTTAGATATATAAACTTGAATTTTTGGTTGTTACTCAGAAGAAACAAAAATTAGATATACCAAATCATTATTCTAATTAAATAGGGTTGGAATCCAATGTGTGCGCCTTGCAAAAATGTTGCCATAAGGACAAATTAACAACCCAAAAGTTCAAAATGGAAGATAATGGTCATCAAGAGGTGGCTTACAAATAATAGGCAGCTCATTCTCGTCTTCATTTCCTTCAGAAACCACAATTGGAATAGGCTATTTTTACCTCTTTAGAGAACTTTATTACAGTCGTTTACAGCTTTCACGTAAACCGGAAGTTGAAAGGGCACAACTAAGGCGAAGTACTTGGTTGGAGTTCTTTAAAACCAACGATGACCTTGGAACCTGCATTTTCCTTTTCTTCAAGAACTCCATGGAACTTTGCAAGCATTGAGGAGGTGGTATGTCCTTCAAGATAACAGGTTCAAGCCTGCAGATAACAATGCAGAAGCTTAATTATTATCTTTCAAAAGCCTTGATACGAATGCTTCTTCTGTTATATCAAAGAAGGAAAAAAGATTGCTCTTTGTTAACGATGAAAGTAAACCCTAACCCTGAGTTTTTCTTCTTTTTCTTTCTCGGAGTGGGATCTACCTTGGCCTTCTCATCCTCGGAGTCGGATAAGAAAACTTGTCTGCAGAAAGAACATGTTTTCATGAACTTGAACTACAGACACAGAATTATAGATGTATAGAAAGATGGATATTCATACTTTTCACGAGACGCGAGCATTTCAACAATGTTGGTAGGAAGCATCCCCTTCTTGGCCAGGGATTCCTCATCAGTTTCAGTTTCTACATCTTGGACGTTTTCAATTTTTGCAGATTGCCGTTGTGTTTTCCTCTGAGCCCAAAGTCTGCGACGTTCTTTTCCCTCACGAATAACCCTGTATAAGATGGAGCAGATTAAGATATATTAGAAGTAAAACTTTTTGCATTTAAGTAAAACTTGATGTAATCAAAACATCACATGTTAAATACAAAGCAGGATTGGCATAGGCACTCAATTCAATCCCAACAATATGCCATATGTTATTCATTAGATTCATTTTTTCCCCAAAGTCATAAAGTTAATAACTAAACTTTCTTCTTAGCAAATCAATCACTTGTCTAGCTGTTCCTTTCAAAACAACCCCCTTCATAACACCTCTACGCTAACACCCAAATAAGCTAATACACAACCACAAATCATAACAAGCACCCAACTACTGCACTTTCGATACAATCCGATACAATCCCATGAACCATGGGGAGCTCAATAAAACAATAAACCACCGATGACTCAGAATCACCATATCTAAACTCTAAAGTCTTTTACTTCATAATTAAAGTAATTTATTTGTCTTCAAAATATAGTTGTTATGAAAAGAATGAACCTTAGCATCACCGCATTACCGTAAAACTGGCTAATCAATCAACCTTACCATGCTTTGATGTTGATTAATAAGTTCAACATGTATTTAGTCAATAAAAAACTTATATTTAACCAAGTATTTACTTGAAAGGGATATTAAGGTATCAACGTCTTAACCGCAAAATAGACTAAAACTTAAGCAGTTTAAACATACCCAGAGCTACAAATTCTTCCCCTCTTTGCTTTTAATCAATCAACAAGGGGGGAAACCTCAATTAGCAAACTATTTTTACGCAAAACCTCAAAAAAATCTAAAAAATGAATATAAATAGTAAGTAATCAATTAACTACCTGGCCTTGTTCTCTTTCTGGATTTTTCTTATCTTCTCATCTTGCTTTATTCCCTACAATCCAAACAAATTTTAGAAAATAAAATTTAAACTTTCTTTTTCTCTACGCGGAAGTTTCTACAATAAAAATAAAAGATAGATTTTGAAGAAAACCTGCTGGTTTGTAAATTCTTCGGGCGCATCGGAGTCGTAATCTTCTTCCCTTTGCGACATGTTAGCAGTGTATTTTGTTTCGGGTTCAGGACTGATGTCTGCCTCTCTACTTCTAGGGTTTAAGGTACTACAATTTAAGACCAGAACCTTAGAAAATATAGCACCAAAAGTGACTCAAAATGGAGAGGCCCAAACTGTTATAGGTACTTTGAACCGAAGCTAATGGGCCTATTTCCAATAAGTTTCTCTTTTTATTTTTATTTTTATTTTTATTTTCCACCTATTTTTCCATTTTCATAAAGAGAAAATAACATCAGTGATCGAAAATGCCTTATAATATACGATTTTAACAAACTTTTTTTGGATTTGCGAAAATGACCAACAAATTCGCAACGCGAACTCCAATTTCGCAACGTGAACTCCAATTTCGCAACACAGTTTCCAAATTCGCAACGCGAATATATGAATCACATTGCGATTTTCTAAATTCGCGTTGCGATTTTCTAAATTCGCGTTGCGATTTTCCAAATTCGCAACACAGAAGTCAAAGCGCGTTTATTTTTGCAATATTAATTTCGCAACACAAATGTAAACAGTATTATCACAAATCATAACCTAAAACCCTAAATCACAACTCAGTCTCATCTCCATCTCTCACTCTCTACGGCGACATCCGTCCCCATCTTCGACGAAATCCGTCCCCATCTCCAACAAAATCGTCTATCTCTATCTCTCATAGCAACCCTCACAACTATTCACGGTCAGAAATGGAAAATCTACCACCGATGGTTAGTTTTTTAAATCTCTTATTTTTATTTTGAAATTTTTGTATTATTATTAGAATTTTCTTATATTGATGATAAATTTACTGGTAATTTCAATATATAGATTAACTATTTCACTTAGATTGCTTAGTAAATTCATTCGGTTGCTGCCAATACTGCTAAATTGTTTAGTCTTTAACCCGGTGAAGTTAGTATTTGTCTTTTGGTTGAAGTAATGCAATTCATTCAAGTTTCAATTTGCAGAAGAATAGTTTTTGAAACTTAAATTCGCAACACGAAAATGAAAATCACAACACAAAAATCACAACGCGACGTGTTGCGATTTTCATTTTTGCGTTGCGATTTTCATTTTTGCATTTTGAATTTAAGTTTCAGAAACTACTATTCTTCTACAAATTGAAACTTGAATGAATTACATTACTTAAACCAAAAAACAAAGACAAATACTAACTTCACAGTGTTGCGAATTTAAGTTTCAAGAATAAACTACTACTCTTTATGTTGTCCTTGAACCTGCACTAAACCTATATGTTATCCTTTTAAATGTTTTATAAGTTCTTACTTCTGGAATGTTATCTGATGCATTTTGTGAACTATGATTGAATAATGACTTGGGTGAATACCGTGCTAGTTTGAATTATATTTGACTTTGTTTTCACTATTTAATATCATGTTTGTTTATAGTGTATAATTTGTAGTTTTTAGTATATCTAACTTGGTATGTTTATTCTTTTTGTAAAAAAAAATTTCGGCTCAATTGACCTTAAGAAATAAAGTAAGCCTAGCTACTAAAATTGTGTCAACGCTTACACCTCTATAAAGAAAATTATTTGAGGATACTTGCTTGGGGCCATGGCTGAAAGTACAACATCCGGGTGGAGATGCTATGTTGACACATTTGTTTCTGCAGACCATGACTGACGATCTACCCGAGAGGATACAACGTGGTGATGAAGAGATATGGTTTCATTTTCCTCCGGCGTATACTTGTTTTGGACTGGAGGAGTTTTGCTTAATCACTGGTCTACGTTTCGGACACGATGAAGTAACCGGGTATACTAGTCATATCTCTCGCCCATCATGGTTATCTCGGGTTTTTTCTGAGCTAGAAAAGTTGAAGCCGAGTTTACACGTCGACGACTTTAAGAGATTATTTGTTAAAGATGGTTTTACTCGGATGGATGACCTTGATGTTGTCCGAGTATGCCATTTATTACTTTTGCATGCCGACTTTTTAGGCAAAGAGGGCATACAACCTATTTCTGAGGACCTAATATTATTGGTAGAGGACCTAAATGCATGGAACCTATTTACGTGGGGTTCATATCTATGGAAAGCTACCTGTAAGAAGTTGTTGTCTGCCTTTGAGGACCGAAAACGTTTGCGGGGTGATGGTTCTGAATACACTTTGACAGGCTTTATTTGGGCCTTTAAGGTAAGAATTTCTATATAATGTTTCCAAATTTATAATTAATTATTTAACAATTATTGATGTTTGTGTATTATATTGTTTGTATATTTGGATATTTGAGGCTTTCCCCAGCATGCGAACATATGCAATAAAAAATTCAAATGATATTCCTAGGGACATTACCTGGATGAGGATCCGCCTGTTGGATTGGGAAGAGTTACTCCCATATACAACGATGAATGATGTAAGTTAATACACAAATACTACTATATATAAACAAGTTATTACTAGTAGACGTTTAACTTTGTTTGAGCTTTTATATTATTAGGAGGCCAACTATCCATTACAGAGGCTGACACCCACAGAGGCTGAGCTTGCCACTGATTGGTGGCAAGCTAGTAAGCATTTTTTTGATGGGATGGATGATGAGTACCCCCTACTTCGAGATCCATCACCTGATCGGGCCGATTCTACAGCTCGACACCCGAAGCCATCACCTGATCGATCCTCTTCTCCACCTCCACCATCACTTATTTCATCACATCATCGAGCCTTTTCTCCATCATCACCTCATGATAGGCGACCGGCAAAGAGGCAATGACATTTATCTCTCTGTTCTCCACCTCCACGGGATGAGTTAGGGGAATTACGTGATGAGGTCGGTACTTTACGTGAAGACAATGGTGCGCTACGTGATGAGGTACGGTCTTTACATGGTGAGGTGGATGTTTTTCGCGATGACAATGGTGCGCTACGTGGTGAAGTATCTACTTTATGTGATGAGGTAGCCGCTCTACTTGAGATTGTTTCATAGTTGCAGAATGAGGTTCATACTCTACGCAATGAGGTAAATTTGTTTAATAATATACTAAAAATGCAAATAACCTTTTTTCAACATTATTTATTTATTTATTTATTTATTTATGTATTAATTTATTTTCAGCGGCCCGATAAAGTAGATGCTTTACGTCTGGTTTTTCTTGCACAACGGGGTTCATGCATCAGACGTCGTGCACGTGCCATTATGTCTCCTTTCACCCCACTAGTGCCAAGACTCCGTAAGAAAAAGCCCGATGCACCTGTCATTGTTCAAGAGGCGCCTCCTATCGTTCAAGAGGCCCCTCTCATCGTTCAAGAGGCCCCTCATATCGTTCAAGAGGCCCCTGTCATCGTTCAAGAGGTCTCTCCCACCGTTCAAGAGTCCGATTCACATGGCGTCATATATCGACATATTGATAAACCCCCTCTCGTGCCTGATATGATGGATGTGAGTTGGCTTTCATATGTGTTACCGGTTAATACCATTCCTCATCAGGAGAGGGGAACACTACCAGACACAATTACGGATAATACCCTTTGGGCTAAGACCGTAGTTGATTTTTATCTACATGAGCGGAGCAAGGGGTGTTATTCTGACATATGCAAACTCGACGATGTTATTCATTTGTTTCTTGATCGGTTTTGGTGGGGTATTTTATTAGGGGTTGAAGATAATGGCTATCTCGAAGGGGTGATACGTCTTATATTCTTCTTATATTGCATTTTGATTGATTTTTAAATTTATTAATAAATTCACTAATATATGTTTTTTTATAAAACAACATATTGATGCATGAGTGTCACATCTTCTAATAATAAGGAAATTGAAGAAAATAAAGAATACTCGATGGACTATTATGCCGACGTCTTTTCACGTAGCTCACTTGAAGGATCCGAGAGATCATTCATATATGTTGGGTAATGGAAAAGCTAAACTTTATCCTGCGTGGTGGGAGGTTGATAAGGTTATTATTTATTTTTTGAATATTTTAAAGGTGTTTATCCCTGTTTTGGAACGTCTTTTATTTGATGTGCGCAATTATTTATGATGGCATATTGCAGGTGTTTATCCCTGTTTTGGAACGTCGTCATTGGCTTCTCCTCGAGATTTAGCTCCCATCCCTAAAGACAATAGTATACGACAACATGTTAAATTATATACCATTGTCTGATTTGAGAGATATTATTTGTAAGGGATGGAGCGCTCATTTGGTGAAATACTTGAATGTAATTGATTACTTGACTAATTCTTGAAACAATAAGCCAAAAAAGTTCAAAGTTACAATGATCAGAGACGAGACCGCGCCACAACAGACGGAGGGAGCCAGAGGGGATTGTGGTCCTCTCGTATGTATGTGCTTGGAACGTTTGACGACATGAAGTAAACAGTTTCTACCTCCCACGGATAGAGATAGATGTGCAGTAGGCTTGTGGTTTTTGTATTTTATGGCTAGAGCGATATATGCGAGACGCTGTCTACCTGTATCCGCGTACAGAAAGTGTGCATAAACAATTGGTAAGTTTGAGCAAATGTTGTTAACATATATACTCTTTGTTGGTTTGAAAAATATTTGGTTAAGTACCTAGAATTCAATAATTTGTTGTTTGTTGGTTTTAGATGTGTAGAAAGTGTTGTTTGAGCAAATGTTTGGTTTCTGCAGGTTAATCCTGAAGTGAGCTGCATGAAATTGATGTATTTGTGCATAAACAACTGTCTGGGGTACATTTTTTTTGCTTGTTTAATTGAATTTTACATTGATTTGTAAAAGTTGATTTGTTTAATTGATGAGGAAATAAGAATTATTTTTTGCTTGTTTAATTGATTTGTAAAAGTTGATTTGTTTTTTATTCAATCTGCATTATGTTTAAGGAAAAAAAGACCTGTTGAAGTTACACTTTCGCAACGCGAAAGTCAAATTCGCGTTGCGATTTTCGGTTTGCGATTTCGCGTTTCGAATTTGACTTTCACAACAATCGTAACGCGATAATCGCATTGCAAATTTGACTATCGCAATGCGAATTTAACTTTCGCGTTGCGAATTCAAGGAAAACACCTTCAAAAAGATAACATACGACAATCTGATAAGTGATAACAACTGAACATATCATAGCAATGTTCAAACTCAAG